CCACCTGACGCACATCGGCTCTGGCGACATGGCCGCGGGAGAAGGCCTGCCCATGGTACCCTACCCGCACGCACGGTTGGGGTGGTGGGTCTCCTGGTTGGGTGGTGGGTGTTGCTGTTGGGGTGATAGGTGTTGCTTTTGGGGTGCTGGGTCTCATGGTTGGGTGATGGGTGTCGCTGTTGGGGTGGTGGGTCTCAAGGTTGGCTGATGGGTGTCACTGCTGGGGTGGTGGGTATCACGGTTGGGTGATGGGTCTCACAGTTGGGTGGTGAAGTCCCACTGGCGGGTGACGGGTCTCGGGGGGGTGAAGCGGCCTTATGTTTGGGTGACAGGTCTTATGCTTGGGCGTCGGGCTGGCACAGTTGGGTGATGGGTCTCACAGTGGTGACGACACATCTCTGCACCCTCCCCACAGACCGGTGCCGTCCAGGAGATGAGGTCCAAGGGCGGTCGGGAGCGACAGTGGAGCAGCTCCCGGGTTTTGTAGCGTGTGAGTACATGGCCGTGAGAGCGACACGCAGCCCTGAGCACCCACTGTCCCCCTCCGAGGCACCACCGCTAATTAACACACCCAAACGAGCCACCACTTATGCGGTTCCGTAACCCGGCCTCTCGGACTTTGCAGATTCCTGGCTTTTTCAGCCCGAACTCGAACTGCCTGATCCCCCAACCAGAGGAGAAGCCAACCTCGAGCGCTTTAACCCCGCGGTAATTTATGCAGAGCGATCCTCGCCTGGCTCCCGGTGGCTTTTGGTCATCGTCCCCCCTGGCAAATCCTTCCTTCCCGGAGGCATCGGGTTGGTGACACGGGGAGGGAGCGGGGACGGCAGCCCCCACCTCGTGCCCGACCGGGATTTCTGCCAAAAGGACACAGCCGCCCTCCCGAAGCGTGCCGGGAGCTGCCGGGCGCAGCCACAATGTGCCAAATCCTCCTGGTTTTCCCTTTTTCCATGCTGGTGTCTCCCATGGGCCCCTCCCGGCGCCGGGCCGCGGTGTCTTGGTTTCCCCGGGGAATTGCGGTGAGGCTGGTCCTGGTGTGGAGCCTGATTTGGTGCCCTCCCGGAAAGGCGTAGAAGAGCAAAACCGGGATTAAACCCCAACGTTTTGGTGCAAAACCGGGATTAAACGCCAACGCTTCAGTGTCTCGCCGGCAGCGGCTCAGCGCCGACACCATCAACGAGCCCGCGGTGCCTCCAGCCGGCATTTCCACCACCGGCAAACCGCCACCTTCCTTCTTTTTTAGGATATTTTTTTTTTTTAAGCTCAAAAATACAACTAGGCAGCCTCCGCCACCTCGGAGGCAGGACCGTGGTGGGGTCGCCTCCGCCCGGGATCGCCACCGGGGTTTCACCAGCACC